GGAGTTTAAGGGAAGAATCCTAAAATCTGTCCTCAGAGTTTTTACACTTTTTTTTTTTTTATGATTTTATTTATTTATTTGAGAGAGAGAATGAGAGATAGAGAGCACGAGAGGGAAGAGGGTCAGAGGGAGAAGCAGACTCCCCGCTGAGCAGGGAGCCCGATGCGGGACTCGATCCCGGGACTCCAGGATCATGACCTGAGCCGAAGGCAGTCGCTTAACCAACTGAGCCACCTAGGCGCCCGAGTTTTTCCACTTTTAAGCTGGGTCAGTATCTATACATGAACTACCCCATTCTTTAATATGAAAAGGTTCTCACATGCTCAAAAAATAGTAAAGATGACTTTTAAAGATGTAACCAACTCATAAAAAGACAAAATCCCACTATAACCACAAAGAAAATATCTAAAGAATATACACAAAAGGAAATTCAAATGTGTTGCCACAAAAAATCAACTAACCACAAAAGAAGGTTGCAATGAAGAAAATGAGGGACAAAAAGTTTGAAGACATTTAGAAAACAAACAACAAAAGGGCAGAAGTTCTTTCTTCTTAGTAATTACTATAAACATAAATGAGTTAAACCCTCCATTCAAAAAGCAGAGATTGGCAGAATAGATAATAATAATAAAAAAAACCCCCAAAGATCCAACTATATACTGTTCTAAAAAAGACTCACTTTAGATCTAAAGACATAAATTAGTTGAAAGTGAAAATTCAGAAAGATATTCCATGCAAATAGTTACCAAAAGACAGCTGGGGTGGCCATACAAATATCAACAAAAATAGACTTTAAATCAAAACTGTTGCAAGTGACAAAGAGGGACACTGTATATTGGTAAAAGGGATTCATCAAAAAGATACAATTATAAAAAAATATAAACCAAAAATCAGAGTCTTAAAATATAAGAAGCAAACATTATCAGAATCAAGGCAGAATTGGATATTCTACGATGGCTGGAGATTTCACTATCTCACTTTCAATAATGGGTAGAACAACTATACAGATAATTAATAAGCAAATAAAAGAATAACACTATAAACCAGCTGGATCTAATAGATATATACAGAAAGTTCTACCCAACAACAGCAAAATACACAATTTTCTCAAGTGTATATGGAACTTTTTCCAGGATGGACCATATATTACACCACATACACACAAAAATCTTTTCCAATCACACTGAAATAAAATATCTTTTCCAATCACACTGAAATAAAACTAGAAATCAATAACAGAATGATTTCTGTTATCTTTTCCAATCACACTGAAATAAAATATCTTTTCCAATCACACTGAAATAAATATCTTTTCCAATCACAGTGAAATAAAACTAGAAATCAATAACAGAATGAAAACTGGAAAATTCATAAATATGTGGAAATTAAACTACACACTCTTAACCCACCAACTGGTCAAAGAAGAAATCACAAGGGAAATTAGAGAATATCTTGAGATAAATGAAAATGAAAACAACACAGCAAAACTTGATGAGAAGCAGTGAAAGCAGTGCAAAGAAGGAAATTTATAGCTAAAAATGCCTACGTTAAAAAAAGGAGAAAGATCTCAAATCAGTAACTTAACCTTAAAGAATGAGAAAAAAAGGACAAACTAAACTTGGAGTTCTATGCCTTTGTCAGAAACACTGAAATTATAGAGAAGAGAGATAAATAGAGAATGGAAAAATTAGAGAAAAGAAAAAAAATCGTTCTTTGAAGAGCTCCATAAAATTGGCAAACTTTTAGTTACAATGACTAAGGAAAAAAGAGAAACGTGAAAAGATTCAAATTACTAAAATCAGAAATTCGAGTGGAGACAGTTTAGATGTTACAGCTAAAAGGGATTAAAAGAGAATCCTAAAAACAATTCTACACCAACTAACCGCTAATCTAGACGAAATAGACAAATCCTAGAAACATACATTCTACCAAAACTGAATAAAACTAAATAGAAAATTCGAATAGATCTCTAACTAGCAAGGATATTGAATCAGTAAAATCAAACTATCTCCCAAAAAAGAAAAGCCCTGGACTGGATGGCTTCACTGGGGAATTCTACCAAATGTTTACAGAACATCAATTCTCAAACTCTTCCAAAAAGTTGGAGAGAAAGGGTCACTTCTTTTTCTTTTTTAAAAAAGATTTTATTTATTTGATAGAGAGAGACACAGCGAGAGAGGGAACACAAGCAGGGGGAGTGGGAGAGGGAGAAGCAGGCTTCCCGTGGAGCCCGGTGCGGGGCTCGATCCCAGGACCCTGGGACCATGACCTGAGCTGAAGGCAGGCGCTTAACAACTGAGCCACCCAGGTGCCCCACTTCTTTTTCATTCTATGGACCAGCATAACCCTGATATCAAAACCAGAGAAAGATGCTACAAGAAAATAAAACTACAAATACCCCTTATGCATATTGATGCAAAAATCCTCAACAAAATACTAGCACTGAATTCAGCAACATATTAAAAGGATTATACACCATGACCAAATGGCACTTATTCCTGGACCCTAAAAATGGCTCTACATATAAAAATGATTGAGGGGCTCCTGGGTGGCTCAGTTGTTAAGCGTCTGCCTTCGGCTCAGGTCATGATCTTGGGGTCTTGGGATCGAGCCCCGCATCGGGCTCCCCGCACGGCAGGATGCCTGCTTCTCCCTCTCCTACTCCCCCTGCTTGTGTTCCCTCTCTTGCTATGTCTCTGTCAAATAAATAAAATCTTTAAAAAAAAAAAATCAATGACTGTAATACAACACATTAACAGAATGAAGAGGAAAAAAATGACAATCATCTCAATTGAATCAGAAAAAGCATTTGACAAAATTCAACATCCTTTAATGATGAAAACACTCAATATATAAACTAGGACCAGAAGAAAATTTCCTCAACATGATAAAGGCCATATATGAAAACCCTACTTAGCTAACACCTACTCAATGGTGAAAGGCTGAAAGCTTTGCTCCTAAGATCAGACAAAAGACAAGGGTGTCTCCTATAGCTTCTATTCAGTATAGTACTAGAAGTTCTAGCAAGAGCAATTAGGTGAGAAAAGGAAATAAAAAAATAAAATAGCATCTAATATTGGAAAATTACCTGTTTACAAACAACATGATCTTATATGCAGAAAACCCTAACAAGATTACACACTCACACAGCTAATAAACAAATTCAGCAAGCTGCAGGATACAAACACAGAATACAACATCAGGTATATTTCTACACACTAACAATGTATACTTGTAGAGTTGTATACTAAAGAGTACAGAACACTCTTGAAAAAAATTAAAGACAAAAAATAAATGGGAAGACATCCTGGGTTCCTGGGCTGGAAGACTTAAGATGATTAAGATGACACTACTACTCAAAAGCAATCCACAGATTCATTATGATTCCTATAAAAACCCCAAAAGCGTTTTTAGCAGTGTCTTCTGTAAGAGAAGAAAAGGACTTCTTGGAAATATGGTAGGTTTTACGGCTGGGCCAGGGAAAACACAGTTGAGCCTGGGCCATCTTGTGGTGACAGAAAATAAGAAAGTGATTAAAAAAAAAAGGGAAGGATACATCAAAAGTTAAAAGAGACAACTTGAAGAGGCTCCCAGTGGCCAAAGCTGGGACTCTGAGTAACAAAATAATGTTAGTATTGTGATTATGTTATATATAATTATATATAATAATGGCATAAAATAAAAATCCATAAACTCATACTGAAATAAATCACTGAATAGATAAATGAGGGGAAAAATAACTCTTCCTCACAGAATTACATCTAATAAGTGTAGAAGGAATAATGGAAACAGAAAACTACCATTAGGTAAACACTACAATAATAATTATTACAGGGCACCCGGGTGGCTCAGTTGTTAAGCGTCTGCCTTCGGCTTGGGTCATGGTCCCAGGGTCCTGGGATCGAGCCCCGCATCTGGTTCCCTGCTCCGTGGGAAGCCTGCTTCTCCCTCTCCACTCCCCCTGCTGTGTTTCCTCTCTCGCTATGTCTCTCTGTGTCAAATAAATAAATAAAATCTTTAAAAAAATAATAATTATTACAGGCAGAAACCATTAACAGATGCTAAAATTAGTGAGCAAAGTGATATTTGCATAGTCTCAAGGAGAATTATTAACTAGAAATGAAAATATCAGTAACTTTATAGTGGAGAAACCTGACAGAGAGCACCTTAAGGAAGTGAGCGAAGTTAACATGAGACAGATCCACATGATGTACCCCTACCTCACTGGTATGATGCACTGAGAAACGTGTAACGTCATTTCTGTGACACTGACAGAAATGCATAACCTCAAAAGAATCCATGAGAAAACATCAGACAAACTCAAACTGACATTCTACTAAATAAATGGCCATTGCTCTTCAAATATATTAAGGTCATTAAAGACTAAGGAACTGTCACAGATTGAAGAGACTAAAGGACAGATGTCAATTAAGCACAACGTGGGATCCAGCATCAGAAAAGGACATTAATGGGAAAACTAGTGACATGTGGATAAGGTCTATATATAATGGTCAATAATACTGTATTCAGTGTTAATTTTCAGTTTTACCACATTATTAGGGGAATCTGAGTGAAGGACATATGAAAACTGCGCTATTTTTATAACTTTAGATAAGCTTAAAATTATTTAAAAATAAAAAGTTAGAAAAAAGAAAACACAGCCTATCTAAATTTTGATGAGCATGGTTTGGTAGATTCATAATTATATACCAAGCTGAATTAATACTACTGATAATTATTTTTAATTTTGAAAATCTTGAGTCTCCACTTTCTGTGTTCTCTATCACATGTTACACTTTTATAATAACGCAGTGTAGCAATTTATGTATTAACATGGTTTTTCACCCAGGACAGTTAATTCCTTGAGAACAGGGACTAAGACTTAGTTATTTCTGCATTCTCTTTGACTTGCAGTCTTTGTCAAAAGGAAATGCTCAATAATTGAATTCTGAATGAATGAAAATTATGTAAAAGATCTCAATGCTATAGGATTTACTTACGCTCCACAAAGGAAGTAAAGAGCATTCTGAATCTGCTTAGCCGACTACCTTCATCTGCCCACATTCGGATCACTCCAACTCCTGTTTTCAGCATCACATCATTGGCCACAGTGCTGCAAAACTTGGCCTTCAGATTTTCAATAGAACTGCTTCCATCATAAACTGCAACGAAGTTTCTCTTGCATTCATTTGAGTGCTCCATTTGATAATCTAGGAACCTCAAATAAATCTGTAACATTAAAACAAAGAAAAACACTGCTTTTGAAAAGATAAATTTTAGTGTTATAGTTCTATCCATTTGACATGGTCGACTAAATTATGACAGCTGACAGGAACACAACAGCTAAAAGGCTGGTGCTTAAGGAATTAAAAGAACCAAGACTGACGTCTCCTCCTTTGGTTGTCTTAATGGAACCAAGCATTAAGGAACATAAGTTTGTGTTTTGTCTATAAAGAAACTTTTTGCTCCATGAGGTTCACTGGCTCTCTTACATAGTCTTCTTATTATGAAAGCAACCTCATAGTACTGACAAATTGGAAAATGAAAGAATCACTCATAGCAGTTGTTGGATTTTTTTCAGTTTTTCTTCATTTTAAAAACCTAAGCTTAACTGTAAGATACATAGATCCTGTAACACATCAAAACCATTTTTATTTTTTTTACAAGATATTTTATTTTTAAAGGTGTTATTTATTTGACAGAGATACAGCGAGAGGGAAAACAAGCAGGGGGAGCGGGGGAGGGAGAAGCAGGCTTCCCGCGGCGGGGGAGCCCGATGCGGGGCTCGATCCGAGGACCCTGGGACCATGACCCAAGCTGAAGGCAGACTCTTAACAACTGCCACCCAGGCACCCCAAAACCATTTTTATCTTATCTATGCTTTTCAAAACCATGAATGTTCCCATGATGTCCTGTCATTTATTTACCCCCTATTCTATACTGCACATTTAAGTGGCTTTAAGACTTCCCCCCATAAATAACCATTTCTACGTTTTCAGTCAGAAAGATATAAACTGCAGTATCAAAATAAGCACTACTGGGGGCGCCTGGGTGGCTCAGTTGGTTAAGCGACTGCCTTCGGCTCAGGTCATGATCCTGGAGTCCCGCGATCGAGACCCGCATTGGGAGTCTGCTTCTCCCTCTGACCCTCCTCCCTCTCATGCTCTCTGTCTCTCATTCTCTCTCTCTCTCAAA